AGGCTGAAACACTTCTTTATTAGAAGTATATAGAAGATGCATTTTCCTTCTGGATTTTTGTGCCCTTTGTCCCAAGTGTATTTTGTAGCTGGTGGAGTTTTGATGTAGTATCAGTGTTTTTCAGATGCTGATTTTCTCCCCTCCTCTGAAACCGCCTGTCCAAGGCACCTCCTTACCATGTTCATGAGCTAAAATGCCAATGAAACAAAAGGATGCTGCTCCCTTCCTTCCCTCACCACAGAAGTGTTGGAACAGCTGAATTTGCTGTTAGTTACAGTGGCTGCTACCACTCACAATCCCGTAGCATAAATTGGATTGACTTGAAGCCTTGTGTGCCTTAGGCTTTTAATCAGATTACAGCATAACCAGCACAGTTTGAGTGCAGGCTTGTGAGAGAGGGAGCGTTGGAGTCAATGAGCCTCAAGTATTTACAGTGGAGATCCGGGGTGGAATTTACTGAGACAAAAGTAACAGAGGTGGATCTGGAGGAAATCCCTTCCCAGGTCAGTGTGTGCTCACTGGGCAGCTTTCACTTGTGCAATCCTGCCTTGGCCTTTTACGTTTCGTGCCTTTAGGGCACACAAACAGCTCTTACCCTTCATCAAATATTTGCTTGCCCTGATGGTGCAAGATCAGGGGAGAAAGTTTCACACCAGTCTGTTAGGTCATTGAGAAATCCTGGCTAAGCCTGGCTGCTCCGGTTTCTGCTGCAGGTTGTTACAGCAGTAGGTGTGTGACACCTGACACAAATGCATTGCCTTTTCCCTGACTGACATAAAGTGCATGTATGTTCTGAGGTAATAAAACAGAAGTGGAGAATACAAAGAACAACAACAGTCTTTTTATTGAGAGCAATACTAAATCTGATCTCTGCTGTAAAACATTGTATTAACTACTTCAGCAGCAGCAATAAGAGAAACAAGATTTCCTACTTGTGGGTTTGATATTTTGCACAGAATATATACATATTTAAACAGGAATCCTTGATTTCTCTCAGCATCCACTGTATGTGACCTGCCCCTCTCCCTGATTGTTGGGACACAGTATTTAAGCTGTACAGACACAGTAAAGCTCTTAAAAGCTCTCAGGCTTTGAGCTGGTATTGCACGGGTAGAGTGCAGAAGTACTTCTGAAACCTGCTGGTGTTTGATCAGATTTACCTCTGAGTTTTCACTGCTCTTTAACATTCAGAATTGTGTGAGAGGAAAATATGTGGCAATCTGCCCGCAGAAAGGAACAAACCCCGGACCTCGTGTCCTTTCTTTTCTCCCATGAGTAACTTGCATTAAGAATGACAGAGTTTGTTTTCTCAAATGCACTGACGTGATGCAAGAACTGAATCATTTCCCTTGGTTTTGCTTTTTTTCGGTGTGTCCAACCCCAAAAGAGCTGCAGTTTGCCACAAGATTCTTCTAACTCTTACTGCTCTTTAGTCACAGGCTTCTCATCTCTGGCAATCTGGAAAGCCAAAACGTGCAGAGAGCCCGGCGGTACACACTTGCTGTGTTTGAACTTGCTGCCTCTTCCTGGCAAGGGGGTATTTCTGTCTGATTCTCATTTCTGTTTGGAATCCTGGCTTCTTTCAGTGCCAGCACTGGAACCAATCCAGGACTACTAGGAACTGACTGAACTCCCTTCCAAACACTGACTGTAACTAACAACCTGTGTACTTACTCAGGTCACTCACGGGTTGTTTTCACGGTGTAGCACCACCTTTCCACTTACAGGTTATGAACACTTACTGTGGTTTCCAGAACGTTTGGATCTGCCTGAATGCTGGAAAACTTCCGGAAATAGCTGTTCCTTGTTCATACCGGATTGTTTTGGAAGATCCCAGAACTTCCTGAAAGGAGTCAGCCCTGAGCACTTATGCTAAAGCCAGAACTGCGTCTCCATCTAAAGTTGGCAGGCGCTCGGCTGCAGGGGAACCGGGACTTCCTCCGGTGGCGTTTTTAAATGAAGCAGCTTCTTCTTGTTCTGCACATGCAGGTTTTGTTCACAAAGCAGGATGCGATGCTACCCTGTCAGGAGGTGGAGCCCTGCCGGCTCCAGTGGCATCTGTCTCACCATCCTAACACCACGAAAACCTGTTTCCAAAGGTGCAATAAATGAAGTCAATAGAAAAAGAAGTGTGTTTTCTTCTAACGCTGTTACACAGTGAATGGGATCCTTGGCAAGCTTTTTGTCACAAGAGGAAGGACAATAAACACTGCTATTTGTGTACTTCCAGTATTAAACCGTTACAAGTGCTTTGGGCTTTGGCTAATTTAAACCTTTCCTAGCAAAGATCACTGGCTGCCTTCTTAAAGTTCAGCTGCAAAGGGTGAGGTTTTCAGGTGCAGGTACTTGAGTTACACTCAGAAATTCTAGTAGTGGGTGCAAACACTGGGTAAGTTGATGCTGCTCTGTTTGAATAGTTAACGCAGAGAAGATGAGAGCATTTCCTCCTCTGTGAATAGTTGCTTCCAGAGCCATAAACCGTCTCCCTGTTCCCCATGCATGCTTTTGCCGTTAGTCTCATGAGCTTTTGTGACTATCTAAAAGCTATTTTAGATAAAAGCCAGTTGTTTCTTAGATTTTTAGTTAAATTCATGACAAATGATGAGGAGCGCCTCTTCTTTCCAGAACCTGAGCTCTGATTTCAGACTTTGTTCTGTGGCCTTGGCTAAAGGACAAGAATAGAGTCTTGCATGTTATCTGCCTCTGAAGCTTTTAATTGAGGATATCACAGAACATCTCTTCCATCTGTGGCGTCTGCAAAACAGTGTCAGTGCTTGTGTGAGCACTCACATCGGTTATGTGTTAACTGTGGTAAGCTTGGACTGGCGAGGTTTGTGCACACACAGCATATAATGGTAATAGGGAAAATTCACCTCATGAAGGTTTTTTTCTGTTTCAATATAGGTCTAATCAACACTGAAAAAGCCTCAGTGACTGCTGTCAGATACCCTGTAAGTACCTCTGTGTGTGTGTGTGTGTGTGTGTTTTCATAGGAGTATCTCCAAAGGAAAAGGCAAAGTTTGTCTTTTGGGGACTTACGGTGTTTTTCCAGCTGATGTCTATCGAGAAGTACAGCTGAAACATTTGCAATTACCACAGATGTCCGCAGATAAGCCAAGTGCCCTGTTCTCATAAACACTTCCTACAGTATTCCTGCTCCTTCTCCAAGTGCCTGCTCACACGCCTTTTGTTGGGAGGTGCGGAGCAGCGGGAGCTGTCTGTGGGGTTTATTCCATGTGCAGCATTGTGTCTAACCCTGGCGTGCACTGAACGTTTCTCACTGCAGTCTTAGCACTATGGCTGGCTTTTGTGTTAACACAAGCTCAACTGCTGCTTCTGAAGCACTGGATTCACTGGGATGAAAACACACAGGATTTGAGTATAAACCAGTAAACTTCCATAGTAGAGAAGTGGAGCCTGGGGAAGTGTCTTCTGCTGAGGTTTGCCTGCTGAGCAGTTGCTGGTGATGAGGTTAACTAGAGCAGAATAAGCTGATGTGTCCTGAAAAGAATGGAGTGTTCACTTTTTATAAGCAGAAATATGTGGAATACTCTCTTTCTGAACAACTCTGAGCTTAGTGTAGTACGTTATACTGGTATTCAATATAAATGAACTCTGTCAATGTCATTAAAAAATGAACTTTGCAATAGTGTTATTTTAGGTATCTGCAGACCTCTTAATTTTCCATTACCAGTGCTGTTGGTACTGGCTACAACACAACTGCAGATGTTGATTAAAAACCCCAACAACCTATTAATAGCTTTCTGTTACACTGTTAGTCACAGATGTCTGGTTTAACCTGAAGTGTTAGTTGTAGCCTGCCTCCTGACCTGAGGCTGCCAGATACATTCATCGAGGTTCCTTTCGGGGTGTGCTCACGCTGAGTCTTGAGGGAGCCCTGAAAATTCCCCTATTCTCATAGTTATTTCTGTTGGATTCTGTCCATCAGGGACTGGGCTTTGGGATAAGCTACAGGCAGTGTCCTCGCTGCCCTGTGTCTGAGCTACTGCTCTTGTGTTAGTGCATCTCTGCGCCTGCTGTGAGCATCATGGGTGCTGTGTTTGTGTGCCGCCCAGATGAAGATAAGAACCTGTATCTCTTCTGTGCCAGCACAGCCTAGTTACAGACCAGCGGGCTATGTATCCACAGCTGAGGGTTGCTATGATGCTTTTGGTTTTCTCCCAGTCACCTTCGGTCTTTATTCAGGCCCAGTTCTCCTTAATGAGGAAAGACTTCTGTCAAAATCTCACCAAATTGTGCTTTATTTTCAGTTGGATTAAATTGGTCTAAGTGTATTCCACTTTTTCAAACCTGGAGCTCTGAAATACCTATATTGAAGTAATTTTTGGAGGGAGAAAAGCAAATCTGTGTAATCCTTCTCCCAAGAGTCTGAAATTCATAGTTGAAAAGTAACAGATGAATAATTCAGTTGCTGGGGCAAGGTTTATAAAGCCATTTGGACGATTCCATCATTTTTAGATTACAATCCGTAAACTTCTGAGGAATCTGTTTCAAGATATGTTTTAATCTGAATACACATTAATATATTCTGAAAAGCAGTAAAGAGATGTACTGTGTCTGTTCCCTGCAGTACAAATATTTAGGGGTAAAACAACTTGACCTCTGCCATCATTACACAACTGTAGCATTACTCAAGGAGCTTAAACACAACATTATGATGTGAAGGACAGACTTCATCTCAACAGCCCTGCACTATTCAAACAGAGATAGTGGGGAAAAGCCTTTGAAAAGTAAATATTTGTGGATGCAGCAAACAACTATGGAAAAGACTCATCCCTTTGGTCTCCAGAGCAGTACATTGCTGCATCCTGCAGTGTACGTGCCTCTTGAATCCGTTACCTCAGCTTCCTTTGTCTTGATGTGTTTGAAGTGAACTCTTAGAAGGACTAAACCTAATGGACTGACTGTAAGATTACTAATTTAATTCTTTTCTTCTTTTTTTCCCCTGCTCTCTGCTTGGCTCTGGTCTTCACCCACAGGTGTCCACTGTTGGCTCTCCAAGGTTACTAAACTCTTAGCAACTGTTCTGGAACCTAAGCTTCACTTACCTTGCTGCATCGTGCTGCACTGCTGCTTTGCTCTTGCCCGCTTCAGAACACAATAAGAGATTTTCTAGTGTAAATATCTGCAATGAAACTTAGACTAGAAGTACGTGCCATCCTCTTGCTGCCTGTGTACTTGTTGATATATGTGTACAGTATGCTTGTATTTATTCCATGGTATTTTCTTACCGACGTTAAGAAGAAAAAGGCTATGGCAAAGCGTTTAAAAGCTAAGCCCACCTCGGACAAGCCTGGGAGCCCCTATCGCTCCGTCACCCACCTTGACTCACTAGCACACATAAACATTCCTGGAGCTGACACACTGGACAAGCTGTTTGACCATGCTTTGGCCAAGTTTGCAAAGAGGGACTGCCTTGGGACCAGAGAAATCCTGAGTGAAGAGAACGAAATGCAACCAAACGGAAAAGTGTTCAAAAAGGTAAGGTTTGGGGCTGAGCTGCTGGTTTGGTTTTGAGCTGCTTTGCCTCAGCAGTGGAGGTCTCCTTAGAGGTCTTCCTTCATCATCATCTTACGATATAAAATATCCCTTTTCTAGTAGTTAACAGTAACAGAATGCAGGAGGCACTATTTATTCTAACTCAAGAAAAATGAAAGCAGTTTTATGTCCTCTAATGAACGGCAGCGTGCATGCTTATGGTGTTAGGCACCAACTCGCGTAAGCTCGCAGAGCTCTACCAGCAGCTTCTTGTCATCACAGTTGGTTTTGTCTCCCCTCCCCAGTTAATTTTAGGCACTTACAGATGGTTATCCTATGAAGAAGTACATGAGAAAATGAATCGTTTGGGGCGAGGAATGACTGCCCTGGGACTAACCCCAAAGAGTACGGTTGTGATATTCTGTGAGACCCGAGCGGAATGGATGATCACGGCTCTGACCTGCTTCAAGTACAACTTCCCTCGTGAGTGCCCAACTCCTTTATTTCCAGTGTATTTTAGAATCACTTCTTAGCACTCAGTATTTTGAATCTGCTGATCCTGTCATTGATGATACAGGAATTTCATAAACATAACTCTGCCTATGGTCTGATTCTTAGCAGTATCCAAGTCTATTCTATGCACCATGGAGAGCCCTAAAATCAACTTGCTTGTACTGACAAGACTGACAGTTCTGATTTTGTTGCAGTAATGTTCTAGATGTTAGAAGACAGAACAGTACAGTTACTGTTCAGTTGGGCTTTTTAAATACTCTGAAGATATCAGCAGCTGTTTCTGCCCCCCCGAGTGTGGGAAGCTGTTATAGTATTTCCTTTCTGTATCCTGACTTACGCATCTGAAACACGAAATGGTTATTAGAAGAGAGAGGAGTGGCAGAGTAACCAAAATCATATGCTCGTCTGAAGGGGCTTTGGTGACATTTTAAAGCTGCTCCAGTTCATGACAATGATGAATATGGGCTTTTTGGTTTTTATTAATTTTGTTTGATCTGCCCTCATTGCAGAGCTCTTGTGTGGCAGAAAATTCTTAGGTGGAAAAATTAAAAGCTGGTTTGTTTCCAAACTAGCAAATTCCCCCTTGAGCTAACTTCATCATCCTCACCCTCTGCTCCCCCCCCAAGGCCTCGCAGTCAGCTGCACAAGACCTTTTGCATTCAGTGTTACTTGACCTTTCTTTCATGTTCCCTCTCTCCTTGCTGTAACAGTTATTACGCTGTATGCCACCCTGGGGGAAGAGGCAGTAACCTATGGTCTCAACGAGTGTGAAGCAGCGTATCTGGTCACCAGTGTAGAACTTCTTGAGAGCAAACTTAAGGTAATTTGGTACCAGCTCCACCTCATGTTATTGCCCTGTGTTAATTTTACCGTACAGCCAATATTCATTTCTCTTCTGCAGACTGCACTGCCACAAATCTCCTGCCTGAAACACATCATTTATGTGGACAACAAGAGCATCAATAAAGCAGAATACCCTGAAACTCTGGAAATTCACAGTATGCAGACAGTAGAAGAGCTGGGAGCCAAACCAGAGAACTGTAAGTGAATCACTTCACAGAGAAGCAGTCAGGCAACGTTAACAGTGAAATCAGGCCTAGGTGAAGAGGGACATGTATCAGAAAATCCCACCCATGCAGGTCTCCAGCACAAAGGCAGTGGCAGATTCATCCTCTGGCTTCCTTTAAATAAATGTCTGATTTCTGTTTACTGCCCTTCACCTTTGTGAAGAGGTACTTCAGGATAACACTTTATAGTAGGTAATATTTTAGACTAATAGAAATAATTATCTGTAATAACCAGAATAATTTAAGACTTCACCTTTATCAAGTGAAATAGGATCTGGTGCAGTGTTCCCTTGTCTGCTGTCCTTAGCTTTTATTCATCCTACTTGCACTAGGGTGAGGAAGCACTTGATCATCTTTTTTGCTTAAATCATCAGCCTGTGCTTAGCCATCTCTCTCTCTTGAATAAAAGAGGAGGTAGACTGGCAAAGGAGCTATGTGCAGGGCAGCACACGTTCCTTTCAAAACCTGCCTGCCCTCACCTCCTCTTAAAAACAGACCACTACTCTTTCTGTGATGACTTCTGCATCCAGCACTGAGCACTCAGCAGCACACTGTGCTGAGGCACGGGTTTCACACTGCTTGATTACAGACATTGTCACGTTCATTAATTACAGAAATAGTTTATTACAGAATATTTAGAAAGTAAGTAAGAGTTAATAAGGGTTTTTCTCCTGCATTTTGTAGCAAGCATCCTGCCAAGCAGACCTGCTCCTTCAGACTTAGCTTTAGTGATGTACACCAGCGGCTCTACCGGGAGACCTAAAGGAGTGATGATGGTGCATAAGAACTTAATAGCTGGAATGACAGGACAGTGTGAGAGAATACCTGGACTAGGGTAAGAAACAGTTGCCACGTGCACAGAGAGGTAAAGCAGAACCTCCAAAAGTACAGAGGTTTATAGGAAGTCTGTTGCTGGCATCAGGTGTTATCAAATTCTGTTATAAGCCCAGTAATACTTAATTCTTAAGACATAAATCTTGTGTTTGAGCTCACCCTCTGGTTTGAAACTGCAGTTGCCACCAGATAAAGAGATTCCTCATGTAGCTGTTTTCAGGCAGCTGGAATCACTGCAGTGATCAGCTGTCTTTCTACCCAGTATATTCTATAAGGAGATGCTATGATGACTGTCAAAGGATTTGGAAATGATTATTCTTAAATATAGCGATTTTATCTGTAATTCCATACTCAGAAAAAGAAACAGCAGTGGAGCATTAAGGAATCTTGGAGTTTCTAAGAGAACAGGGCAAATCCTGTAATTCATACTGACTTCAGTAGGGTAGGATTTACCCCATTCTGTTTATAAACTGTTTGAAATCACACCCTTCTTCCATGCAGAAGAATAAGCCTTACCTGTGACTTAAGTCTTTCAAGATGTAATAACTAAGCACACAATAAAGCTGTTGAAGAGTGTTTTCAGTCCACGTGTGCACCACTGTTAATCAGACAACCCTGTCCTAGGTCCAAGGATACTTACATCGGTTATTTGCCTCTGGCCCACGTGTTAGAACTGACAGCAGAAATCTCCTGCATCACTTACGGCTGCAGGATCGGCTATTCCTCTCCACTCACACTGTCGGATCAGGTGAGGGCTGGGGGCGAAGCAAAAGCCAACTTCAGCTTTTGCAGTGTGCAGTCTCCTTGCGTGGCCACCCTCTGCCATTAGGGAAATGCTGATGGATGTGGCACACTTCACAACTGTCATTTTTGGGGCAGAACCCAACACAAATGACCCTTCCTGTGAATGGCAGCAGCGGGTCATCCTACAGGAATCTTCTTAAAATCGTTACTTTTATGAGACATCAGAAATCTAAACTAAAACCTAATAAATGCATACAGCACTATCCACTGGCTATGGGAAGAACAGCTATTAACAGATGAGCTGAAAGTGATGCTGTTTAAAGTGATTTGAAGTTTTTGGTCTCACTTTAACAGTTCTTCATCCAGTTACTGTAGATCATCTACTCAGCCCGTTGCCTCTTCTATTGAACAGTTAAATGAGAGCAAATTAAGCTGGAAAAGGATGCTGCTGTATGTGTAATTGGTACAGAGAATACATCAAGCAGAAAAGGAGGAAGAGGAAGGAGAAAGCAAGTACTAGAGGGGGGAAATAAGAGCAAGATCTACAGATTGGACTTAACCAAGTTGGGCTTGTAAAGCATGTAGTTTTTGTTGAAATTGTTGTTAATTGTTACTTTTTTCCATCCTAATGGAGAAAAATTAGGCAGGAAATGTTTTCTGGAGGGGCAGAGGAAGAGAAGATAAATTACATGCTCATGTAGCTCACTTTTTAGTCCTTTTCTAAAGAACTGCCTGGGTTTCAACTTCATAAATCGACATTTTTTTCCTTACTACAGTCAAGTAAAATTAAGAAGGGAAGCAAAGGAGACTGCACTGTCCTCAGACCTACACTGATGGCAGCTGTGCCTGTAAGTATGCAGCAGATATGTTTAGCAATAAAATGCTTTCTATCTTGTTCATGCTAGAAAAAATCCACTTACTTTCTTTGCTCTTCATGTGTAAGAACTGTCACTAATAGGGAAAAAAAGCACAATATAGAACTGCAGTTTCCATTGCCTGAACTGAGTGCTGGTGCTGCAGATGAGCACAAGAATAGATGGATGCTAAAGCCAAGACACTTTTTGGTCTGAAACTGTGAATGTGTTTTCATAGGTACAAGTGATGTTTTACTGGGCTGCTGCTACAGCAGCAGGACACAGTCGTAAAGTCTCTGACAGGGTTGTGAAGTGTCTGACATTCACAGCCTGAAACCCCTTTTGGCACAGGGGGAAAACGGGGTGGCTTTGGCCAAGACGGACGCTCCAAGGATATGGGTGTTTGGTGAACTATGGAGCTTGGCTGCCCTGCTGTGGCTGTTGGGGTGCTGAGTGTCAGGTGCTTGTCTCCAAGGTAACACTTAGACCAAGTCTCCCTGGCTGTTCTTAGGGTAAGGAGGACATGCTCAGTCTCCTCTTACAAGGAAAAATGATCAGGAGACTGTAACTCCTATTGCTTCTGTAGCTTACGTTAGTATTTGGGTGACCAGGGTTCTGCATTCCACAAGGTCTTGGTGCTATCCAAAAAATACACAAACTACCAGAACATCACCAGGGATGGGAATGCCTGAGGAATGAAATGGAAAATAACTCTGGCAGAGTCCGGAGGCACAAACATTTCTAAATACTTCATTCAAGCAGGACATTGTAATAAGGCCACTCATTCCTTCCAGCCTCTGTCATTCCAAATACCTTGTCATGCCTCTGTGGCCTTTCCAGAATGCTACAAGTGATTCTGCTTCAAAATACTGGCTGGTTTTGGAACTAGCAGCTGATGCTGTGCAGGTGAACTGTGCTGAAAATAGAGTATGTGTTTGCTGAAATTCTAGTTTCTGTCAGTGCCGGTAATGAGGCAATCAAAACCCCCCATGAGAGTGCTTTCTGATAAGCCTGCAATAGTTTGATCTCTGATATTTCAAAGTACCTAATTTTCATAGCTTTCTTTCCAATTTTAAATTGACTTCTGTCAGAAAGCACGGAATTCCATCACACCACTGTGCTCTCTCACAAACTCAAGGAGCTAATTCTTCCACTTCTCTTTAATACTTCACCACTCTGAACACTATATAAGTTCTGTTTACTTTAGTGATCACTTTAATGGCAATGAATTTCTTGTCTGGGGGGGGTTTGTCAGGTAATGAGAATTACTGAAACCATGATGCTTTGAAAGCTGAAAAACTTCTCTTGGTAAAGGAAGCAGTGAAATGAAATCTCATCGTTCATTCCGTGTGCTTGCCAGCTGCTGTGGATAAAGTACAGCACCAGGACTCCTAAGCACCATAAATCTTGTATGGCACATCCCACCCTTCAGCAAAGAGATTGAGCTGAACTCGAATTCAGATCAGTTTGTTGCATTTAAGATCAGGTTAAGGTGGTATCAACAATGTAAGCAACATAACACAGCATTACCCAAGATTTGTAGCTGTGGTTGATAAAAAGAAGACATCTTTAGCATGAGGGGAGGAAAGTATTCCAAAACTAAATGTGAGGTTCAAAAAGGTGCTTGTAGAAATGCAGGGCTGCTATGAGCTACTGCAGTGCACCTGAAGACCTGCAGTGGTTACTCAATTACTTGCCTGTGTGCCTAATTCAGGACAAGTGTTTTAATAGGAGATACATACTACAGCACGGGGGTTCTTCCTCTCTAGTGATAGTGGTGTGAAAACAGCAAATATAGGAGTAAGACTCAGTCACTCATTTTCTGCTTCATTTCTGATGCTTTGTGCCACCCGTTTTGAATAGCTCCAAGCTGCAATATTCTATAAACTGATCACACATTCAGAGCATTACAGTTAAGCATTGCCTAACCAATGATGCAGCCATTTTCACTCTTACTGTATTACCTGTTTCAAAGGAAGAATAATAATAGGGGTGGTTTTATTCTATGTTGCACATGGAATTTCACTTACACACGCTAGGCTGGCCTGTGTGGTAATTTTCCTTGCTTTTTTTCTTTATGCTTTTCAGGAAATAATGGACAGAATTTATAAAAATGTCATGAGTAAAGTGCAGGAGATGAACTACATTCAGAGAACTCTGTTCAAGATAGGCTACGACTACAAACTGGAGCAAATCAAGAGGGGATACGATGCACCTCTGTGTAACGTGTAAGTCTTAATTCACAGTCCAAATGGACCTTTTTCCTTGTGGCTTGTTAAGACAGTCTGAAAGCACAATCAGCTCAGCTATCTGACAGAGAATTCTCATCTAACACACAGATCCCATCTAATCACTGAAATAATCCAGTTCTTGCTGGAAATGGGTCAGATACTTAATGGTAGGAGTGACTCATCTTTAGAACAGATGACTGGTTAGTTTTCACTGCATTGGGTTTTTTGGTAGTAAAACTGGAATGTTTGTTTAGTTAAGTTACAGGAATTCTGCCATCTTCAAGTGTTGCACAAGAGGTAACATTCCCGATTCTCCTGCTGTCCGCTGAAATCTGTGAATGAAGTTAATTTGAAGGTGTTCCAAATAGAAAACGACACAAACCCTCTTCGTCCTTTCTGGGAAAGCTGAGGGAATGGTTTTTAAGGCTTTTTTCCTTCTTTCAAGGTTCCTGTTTAAAAAAGTAAAGGCACTGCTGGGAGGGAATATCCGTATGATGCTCTCTGGAGGGGCACCCCTCTCACCTCAAACACAAAGATTCATGAACATCTGTTTTTGCTGTCCTGTTGGTCAAGGCTATGGACTAACAGAAACATGTGGAGCTGGAACAATTACAGAAGGTAGTTAAAATGCTTTTGGAAATATACAATTTGAGATGTATATGTATATATATCATATATATACAAGGGTTGGGTGGGGTTTTTTGTAGTCTGAACAGCTGTAGTGCTTAACTGCAATAAAGTAAGATAAGCCACTGCCTTATTTATAGTTCTAGTATACATTTCATATGACAAAAATAACTGTTTTCATCCTTGTTCTCTCTGCAAGCTACTGACTACAGCACTGGCAAAGTCGGAGCTCCTCTTATTTGTTGTGAAATAAAACTGAAAGACTGGCAAGAAGGTGAGAGAACAAAAGGTTTTGATTTCAGAGTAGCTAATGTAACCACTGCTTATGGGGTTCCTTTGCCTGTCTGCTTGGCTCACTGTAGCACATGAAGTGATTGTTCTTTTAGAGCAGTCATCAGTTTGTGTGCATTAACTTCAAGCTGAAGTTTCAGAATATTCTCTTGGCAGCAGAATATACAAGTTCATGTAATTGTGTGTGGATTTCCTTGTTTTCAGGGGGCTACACCAACAAAGACAAGCCTAATCCTAGAGGAGAAATCGTAATTGGTGGACCTAACGTCTCAATGGGGTATTTTAAAAACGAAGAGAAGACAACAGAAGACTTCTCTGTCGATGAGAATGGTCAGAGATGGTTCTGTACAGGAGACATAGGGGAATTTCATCCGGATGGGTCTCTGCAGATCATAGGTTGGCCTCAGTTTCTGATACCTTAACATAGTACAAGATCTTGACTAAACATAATTACAAGCATGCTGTTAATCCTGTTGTTGGCTTTGCTAGAGCTAATCTACTGAAGGTTACCTGCTTGCAGAATCAGTGTAAAACACATTCCCAGAGGTCCTCGCAGCTGTAGGAATGGTTTGGAAGTGATGCTGTTTCCTGTGACATTATCACTACCCAAGCTTAGCACGTGGACTTTAAAGAATAAATGTAAGATCGATTTTTGGTATCAATTACAAAGCTTTAAATCCCCATCACTTTGGTACAAGTTGTGTGACAAGCAGTGTAGCACTACAGAAATGTGTTTAGAGAAGCCTTTATAAAGTTGGTTTATAAAGCTGTTAGCTGCTTTAAAGTTTATTAAGATGCTTTTATTCATGTTTATGAAGAATCTTGCATAGCACTGCACATATAATACGTATACAGTGGGTTTGCAAATGAGCCAGTGGAAATGCAAAAGTTTAAATGGAGCCTTTTTTTCCTTCTCCTACTCCTAGATCGTAAGAAAGACTTGGTAAAGCTACAAGCAGGAGAATATGTATCTCTGGGTAAAGTAGAGGCAGCACTGAAGAACTGTCCATTGATTGACAATATCTGTGCTTATGCCAAAAGGTAAGAGTGGTATTAATTTAGAAACTCCATCTAGGGTCAACATGAAAGTCAGGCTCTGACCCAATTTTCTGATGCTAGACTGTAGTTTTCCATGGTTTCCATTGAACACACACCCTCACCCCACAACCCCAGGGTGCAAGTTCAAAACAGCGTCTCTGAAGTAGTACAGGCAGCCAGATTCCCTAAAACCTGAAGAAGTGACCTATCTCTGTTGGCATTTCTCCTATCCTAATGCACTCCAGCTCCGTCTCATGCCTTCCCTAAACAGATGTCATTATATCTAGCATGTGTTTTGGTTTTCTGGCCAAATACCAGAGTGAAGTTAATCTGGCCACTTTGCACCTGATCCAGAGCTCTCCACGGGGTTTTGGAAATTGTCCCAGTCTCCTCTCCCTCCCCTCAACTTAAACACACTACATGAAGGGGACTGAAGGGAACTCGCTAAACACCAGGTGTAGCTGCAGAGCTAAACAGAGACATGCTCATGGCATTACAGCAAAGCCTGATAACAGTCAAACCTAATGCTGTAAAACAACTTAGAATACCTCTGGTAAGTCATCAGTTGTGAAGAGTTGATGTACAAGAAGGATTCTGTATGGGGGAATCTGTGATAAACATTGGACACCCCAAAATGGAAGTCTCAGCTGTTTGGATCTTTCTTCCTTTCCCCCCTTGCCACCGTATGTTAGTGACCAGTCGTACGTGATCAGCTTTGTGGTTCCTAATCAGAAGAGGCTGACAGCATTAGCGGAGCAGAAGGGTATCAGTGGAAGCTGGGTAGATATTTGTAACAACCCTACGATGGAAGCTGAAGTCCTGCGAGAGATTAAAGAAGTGGCAAACAAGAGTAAGTAAAGCAGCATGTTGTGCTAGCCAGTCTCATGTGCTTACCCAGCAAGTGATCCTCACTAACTGCCCTTACTGCTTCCTGTTGCCTCCATCTGCCAAAACTTAGTAGTTTAATTGGATGCAGAAACCTCACATCAAACTGTTGAAACGGTTAAAATAAGGTCCAAGAGAGCTGAAAATTTGGAAGGGAAGTTACAAGACATTTGCTGGTGAGAAAAACTGGCTAAGCAAAAGAGTTCAAAGCATTTCCTCCTGCCCCCATGTGACTATTTCCCCTGCAGCTCTGAAACAACCATGATCCCTGTGGTTGTAATGGCTTAAAAGCCTCCTATTCCTTGCTGTGGTACTGAATGATCAAAAGCCTCATCAATCCTTTATGGTGCCAAAAATGTAACAAAGTCACTGGGGAAGAAAGTCTCTAGAGCCATTGGGACAGCATGTGAGGAGGTGGCAGAAATGGACGTAAGTACATGCTGAGCACTGCCTCTCAAACTTCAGAGAGGAGAAATGTGCCTTTTGAAACCAAGAAAACAAGGATGAAAGGCACTTCTGTTAAGGCTTGCTTTAGAAAAAGATAAATCAGTCCCTCAGGTCTCAGACTTGGGTTTAAACATTTTAATCCATGTTTTCTGTTGTGAACCAGGCAAATTACTATCCACATAGGTAGCTTTGTTTATTCAAAATCCTTTCCTTGTATGTTCTGTCTACCTTCTCGATGGTGCTGTGCCATTGGGATACAACTTTTTCCAGAGCTGTTTTAAAGAGATCGTTCCCGTTTTCAGCAGAACGTAACGCAGCCTGTCACGAGCAGGCAGAGAGCTAAACAAACTGACAGAGTACATTGCAATCCCAGACAAGTGCAGAGAACAGCTCCTGGCGCAGACCTGGAGTCAGACCTCATCTATCCCGCATCTGCTGCCGCCTAGAGGCGACACTGCCAGACATTGTGTAGGAATTCAGCCACAGGTCTACTATGGATGTGGGATCCCACTACAGGGCTATGTGCAGGAGCTGATAGCAGAGTCCATCAGGTATTGCACACGTGCAACAGCTCCCTACCCTATTCCGATGTCCCTGCCCTCCTCCCTTAAGCAGTTACCTGCCTTCTCCTTTACCCTCTTTGGTCTGTGCAAGAGAGTAGCAGTGAGGCTGTGCACTTGCCAAGCCACTGCTTGCAGATGAAGGGCAAATAAGCAATTAATGTAACAAAAATCCAGAGAAGCCCCTTTATTGTGAACTCTAAACAAACTCTTGGGAAGTAGAAATTTGGGAAAGAATCATTCAACCATGGCAAGTGTAGAAGTACTTCATTGTACTTTAAATATGAAGCACACCCAACTAGTCTGAGTTATTACTTGTTATTACTACATTCCTACAATAAAGATGCAAGTCTGGATTTCAGTGTATTCTCTTAGGACAGTCATCTCAGATCCCCAGGATATACACTCCGTGTTGCAAGCTTTAGATTTTACAGTGTCACATCCACTACAAGCTATACTGTTAGAATATCTACACACTATCTCAGCATTGGTACAAGAATTAGTATTTCATTTGGCTTGTAATCATAGTCATGCTTGTGTTTCTTCTTGTCCCTGCAGTGAAATTAGAGAGGTTTGAAATACCCATCAAAGTACGGTTAAGCCCTGAGCCCTGGACCCCAGAGACTGGGTTAGTAACAGATGCCTTCAAGCTGAAAAGGAAAGAACTGAAAAACCATTACCTCAACGACATCGAACGAATGTATGGAGGCAAATAAACAAGTTGTGTTGACCAGGCTGTGCAGATGGTTCCTTCTCATGCCTCAATTTTGAATGTCTGTGTATGCTGTAGATATCACACATTCAGAAAATATACCAAATGGATTACTGCTTCTATAATCTGTATAGAGTACAACCGAGAGTATCTTAGACTCCAGATTCTTAATTGTTAGCAGGTTAGACACTGATGGTCTTTGTAGAGTTTCATGTGATGATCTCCAGTTTGGAGACAGACATCATGATGTGAAGCAGTACGACCAGGTAATTTTATCACTGTGTTTCTCTAGCACATTCAGACTGCTTACAACTTCTCAATACATTCTGCAATTTGGCCTATATTTCAGAGAAAAATCAATGTGATGGTAATGATTTTTCTGTTATAGTAAGCCACTTAATGAGAGAGGAAAAGAGTATTTGAAATCTACCTTTCTCCATTAAAAAATTAAAACATTAGTCAAGAATTGCTAGAGATCATTGATAATGTACTGCCTGAGAATGGGTGGATACTTCTGCACATCAGTTAGCATCCTGACTATTTACAGTGCCTAAGAGAGAATACAAAGTACACTTACTGAAATAAAGGTGAACTGAAAAGCTTTCTAAAAACAAGGTATTTGAGATTCCAATTGAGAGTGTGGAATTAACTCTTTCAGCTTCCATCTCACCAAATGGGGTTTTATTTGCCACTGTATTTTAATTCAAACAAACAGAGCTTTCCACTAAGACAGAGCATAAAAGACAAAGCCGTGCACTGCCATACGAGGGACTGATGAGAAATCATCACCTGACTGCAAAACTTGATTCTCCACTGCCAAAGAGCAGTGACATTGCTGGGCTGTTGGCTCTAAGTGGATTTGAAGCGCCAGTGAGTGTTTGGTTTGGGGTTTTTCTGAAGGGTGGTTGGTGGTTTTAAGGCACTGATCCTCTAAACCTTGACATACGTGTGAAGAATGGTACAGGTCACCTGTATGTCATTTAGAGGATCAGGGTCTAAACATCAACAGTCGCTTTATGGAAGGTATTTCCGTTCACCTTTTAACTACAGTGAGTACAACAAGGCAGCAGAAACCAACAGTAGTTTCCCCACATAGTCTTGTTGTACTTACAGAAGAGTAGTCTGTGACCAGGGAACCTTTGTTTTATGGAACTTGTAAAAGGGACAAATCACTCTTTACAGAAATTCATTATAAAAATGTGCTGTTATTAACTGGAAGTCATAGATGTGAAGAAGTGGGAAGATACAACTCAATAATAGTTCACCACTTTGTGTGCAGAATCCTGTACTGTGTCTCCTTTTGACTTGTAGCCAAGCTCCTGCATTCCTGCTACTCTTCACACTTGAACCATAAGTGCTGTAAAAAGTGGAGGCTCTTGATACTGTTCTACTTTGCACTTTCTTAATCGTTTTATATATGTTGCTTACATTTTGTACAGCTGTGGCCCTCAACTGCTATATATTACAAATTCATTTTAAAGTATTTATAGATTTCTATTCATAATATTTGTGTTGTGTATATGACGGTAAAGAAAATATTTGGTATTGTCACTGTACAGAAAGTAAAAGATTTTGTACGATGCATCTCCTGAACACACTTGCAATTCCAGGGCAAGTTTTTCCTTGATTGCATGTATGTGGATATTTCCTTTTTCCAGTTCAAACAGATTTGGCAAGAATAAGTCATGGCCGTGTACTCATGAACTACACCATCCCTTCTCCCTGGGACCAGCTTCAAACTGCCCCATGCATAACTTTCTCTGGCCAGGCCAGAACACTGCCAGCTCCCCTTCTAAGAATGCCGAGGGGAAAGGGAAATGGAAAATAGCACAAGGCTGACTGTGTTTAGTTGTGCATGGAACCAAACAGTCACTAAAAGGAACGAGGAAATAGCTCCTGTAAGAAAGAAAATTATTTTAATATACGTACAGGTATGACAACAGCTAATACTTCCCATCTAAGGAGCAACTTTTTGAATGACTTGCTTATGGAGCCACATTACCAGTTTTTCCATGTTTCAAATTGGTCACTATTCATCATAGAATCATTACAGAGCCTTTAGTTGGCCTGTTAGCATCACAAAAGTGAAATACATATAAGAAACTTGCACTTGAGTATGTCTGCAGGTTCTATGGGTTTGGTTTTTAAGCCATGAATGTATTTATACGCAATGTATTTTATCGAGACTGCAGGTATGTTCTGTGTCTACACATGTGCAATGTTAACATTTCAACAGTGGAATACAATTTAAATGGTTCAAAAAGCTGTGTTCTGCAAGCTCTTTGTGTTGCACAAGTTGTCTCTGGTTCCTGTCCAGTGCCTCACATTCTCTCTGAGACCAAGCACACCTTAGAACACAGCAGCAATGAGTAGGTGCTACAGATGCTGAAAACACAGCCTAGCATGGGCCTTGATTTTCTTTTAAGGAGTGACCTCATGTGCATGTGCTGCAAAAGGCAATTTGATCCACATCAGCTTTTCGGGCATTTTTAGAGAAGGGGAAGGATTACATGAGGCCGCTTTCAGATATGGGGATTATTTACAAATGTATTTGCAGTTTGGCAAGAGCTTTATCCTCTTTTTTAATGAATTCTGAATACTTTTGTGACAGCTTGTGGAGAAAGAAACGGAGGATGAGCAAGAATGTCATTCTTGTCATTAGAAATAAGGAACTTGGATGCATAGATAAACAGTATAAGGCTTCAAAACCATTACAGAATCATGTAGGTTAGAAAAGACCTCTAAGATGGTAAGTGTTCAACTGCTAACCCACCACTGTAGTGTGAGGAAGCAGTTCATTTATGAGACGTGAAGATTTCAGAAAGCTCACAGTAGCTGCAAGATCTTCAGAAAGCTGGTTCAGAACTTCAAATTGCCCTCCTAAGCCTGAGAAACAAGTTGAAAGAGAAACAAAATCCAGTTTGGGCATCTGATACAAGATCATGTTTAGGCCGCCTAGTTCAAAAACCCCCATGGGGTACCTAGAGTTTAAGTACCATAAAAGTGGGTCTAGAAAGCTTCATGTGTGAAGGAAGATCGTAGTTAAGTTCAGGTGGCCTGAAGAATGGTGAATTGACAAGAGAGGAGTAACCTTCAGCTACATACGTATTACCCTAAGACAAGCACAAGGGTTGTCACCCTTGGAAGAGGAGGAGCAGAGAGTAAGCTGACAGTGAGTGACATTGATCATTAGATATTTTAAAAGAAACACAGACATTTGAAACTATTCTTTTCTAAATGCTGAACTAGTGCCTCAAGATCCCTGCCTTTTGAAAGGCAGCAGAGCCTCTGGGTCGATAAAGGTTGAACAGCACCTTTCAGGAACAGCTTCAGCACAGAACTGGGGCTGGGGCAGGAGAACCAGGTTTCTGCACATAATGCAATAGTAATGCTGCAGGTAACAGCAAGGTGTCATTAAATGGCTTGCTTCAAATAACTACAATGGATTTGAATGATCAGCCAGTGATGTTCTGCAATTACATGCCATGCAAGAAATACATTCTCACTATGTATTTGGTTTTGGTGTGGGGTTGGTTGTGTTGTATCTTGGTTTTGGGTGGTTCTGAGCGGGCTGTTTAACAAAGCCTGTCTAATGGCTAAACTCTATTTACATGAGAGTAAATCCATTTCCCTTGTGGAGGCTAAAATTTAAATATCAGAAGCTTAAAAAGAATAAATCTTGGGCTTTTTAGGGAGCCATGTGCTTTAATGAAGCTGATTATCACAGGGAATTTGTCCAAAACTATGGGCAGTCCTGCCATCAGACCAGTGATAATGACATCAGACAAACAGCTTCAGGCACTGTGTGCGGTCCTCAGCTTCCTCATCTGCTTCAAAAGGGTAAAAACAACCCCAAACCCAACTGTTGCATTTTTCGCTTGGTCTCCCATTTTGGAAGACCAGTAACTTGCTCACTGATGAACATTATCAAATATGCCAAGCATCTTTCTTACACCTTTCTAACCATCTAACTAACACCTTCACCTGTCTTCTGTTACAGACGGGTGACCACCCCAGCTATGCTATCCCTGTTACCTCTGAAAACCCAAACCCTGAGCATGAAACCCACCACTCTTAAGACATGATCTCCTATCGTTACAGTTAACATCTAAAGCAGAGACAGGCCATGTAAGTTTTCCTTATTTGCCTTTTAACAGATTAAGTGGTGGGGGAGTAATTCAGCACTTCTTGATTTGAAACAGCATTGAACAACTTCTAACAGGCCTCCTGCATTGCTGAGCCTATTTAAGACTTAAGACTAGCCTGACTACACATGGAGTCCACACATTGTTCCAGCACCCAAGGAAAGGCCCAGCCCTGGGAGGTGTTGCCAGGGTTCTATTTGTTTTAAACAGCACTGCATCTAACCTAAACCTTTCCCGTTGGAGATAGAGCAGCTCATTACCTGCAGTGCTCCCCCAGGGAGGGAACATGAAGAACAGGTAAATGCTCTCTGTAGCTGCCTGCCCTACTCTACTTTCTGCCTTTCAGTTCTAAGCACATGATCTCCAGAGGAGCCTGGCTTTACGAAATGCCATCAGGGTCATTGTTGTGGTTTAAACCCTGTCGGCAAGTCAGTCCACTTCCCCCCCCTTCCCTGCCTCTGCTCCTGGAGGGATGGGGAGGAGAATCTAAAGAATGTAACTCCCATGGGTTGAGATAAGAGCAGTCCAGTTACTAAGGTATAACACAAACCCCTGCTGCTGCCACCAATAATAGTAATGATAAGGGAAATAACAAGGGAAGAGAATACAACAGCTCACCACCCGCCAACTGATACCCAGCCCTACCAAGCAGTGATCTAGCCCTTCCAGGTAACTGCCCCCAGTTTATATAGTGGGCCTGACGTGCTGTGGCATGGGATACCTCTTTGGTCAGTTTGGGTCAGGTGTCCTGTCTCTGCTTCCTCCTGGCTTCCCTCCTCCCTGGCAGAGCATGAGACTCACAAAGTCCTTGGTCAGACTAAACATCACTGAGCAGCAACTAAAAACACCGGTGCTATCAGTGCTGTTCCCAGG